TATATATATTATTGCATACACTTTTATGGACACTGAGTGATTTTATTTTAAATTTTATAACAATTTTTTTTTATTAAACTTGTTAATCATAGGATAAATCAAACTGCACTAATTGCACTTTTAATTTAAGGCAGGACTATAATCCGTTGCCATTGAGTGCTAAATGAACCGTGTCCCACAGAGATATGCCACATGCATTTAGATATTCAGCTCAAAATTGTATATAGAAATGTTTGAACATACATTATAAATACACAGCTGTAAAAACATCCAGTTACACCCTATTACACTATACTAGTGCATTGTTTGACTGACAGTATAAACTTATGTTTAGATGATTCATGACACACTGGGCATTTATGTTATGTCATGTCAACCACCCAAATACAAAACCTCCTAAAAGCCTTTCATGTCCTCATTTACTCTTATGAGCTTTCCAGATGGGAAAGTTTGTGGGTGGGATATAAATTCTCAAGAAAGTAGTTTCAGTTTCATAAAGGGAATGTAAATTTTGTTATGGCCTGCATTATTAATGTTCGTAGAGCGTTTCATTTGGTATGACTCCTAGTTCTGCAGTCACAAATAGATGTGTGGGTTCTCCTGTTGTACGGGTATAAATATTGTTTTGTCTCAACAGGGTTGGGAAGACATCTCTGATGAACCAGTATGTGAATAAGAAGTTCAGTAATCAGTACAAAGCTACTATAGGAGCAGATTTCCTGACAAAAGAAGTGATGGTTGATGACCGACTTGTCACAATGCAGGTAGAGATGACCGGTTATTTTTCTAAAAGCACGTGATGCTTTGAAATAAAAAAATTCAAGCATCTGAAGCATTTTTCTTTTCCCATACCAATGCGTGTCTCATTACTTCAACTAGCTTTACATTTTCATTTTATAGACTGAGAGAAGGCTTTAAAGGATGTAATTCAACAAAAATATTATTTCTGTCGTCATTACTCACCCTAATGTGGTTTCAAAAATGTATGATGTTTTATTTCTACTGAGGAACACAAAAATGATAACAGCATCACTTGCATACTGTATAAATCTGTATGTCTGTTTTTAAATGTGTTTTATAATGCAGCCTGACAGAATGTCCATATATGAATGAAGGTTTATGTGAGTGTTCTGTGTTGTTTCATTCAGATATGGGACACAGCAGGTCAAGAGCGAATATCCTAATGATTTTTGGCATAAAAGAAAAATAGATCATTTTGACCCATACAATGTTTTTTTTTTAGCTATTGCTAAAAATATACCCAAGCGACTTAAAGGCACAATATGTAAGTTTTTGCCACTAGAGGGCGCGTATTCAAAAGAAACAAAGGCGTAGTTTGATGATGCCGTGACTGAGTGTGGAATCATGGGAGTTGTCACCTTCATCCCCACAGCCGATGCAATCCGACAGGACTCGGGCAGAAATCATGTTCATGGATGAGCTAATGATTTATTAACGTCGTAGTATGAAGCAGAGTGAGGCTGAAAGCTGTCGAAGCGAAACGAGGCCGCTGAACAAGTGTGACACATGGCTCGAAAGCAGCGGAGCTTTTATTATGCCACAGTCAACCGCTTCCC